CGTCACGGTTTGCGCATCTTGAAAAGTTTAGCCTAAAGTTTTCAAGTTCGTCGTTTATAATCCGGGTCAACCTTCTCCATCCTTTACCATCCTTGTTCCTTTATGGTTTATGATCATCTATTTGGTGTTTTTTTTTTTTCCTATCTTAGTAAACTATTATTTCCAGGTATCCTTTAACTTAAAGGTAATTTTGTACGCGGCCAATGTAGCTCAAAATGCCGAATGTTTTCAAAATATTTTAGCTGAAGTTGCCATCAACAGTACAGAGATCCCTTGTTCCCTCAAATTAAGAGCTGGATTTAATTAAATTTACGACAGGTAAGAAAGAGCAGACTAAAACTGATAATACAAGCTAATACAGAACATATCAATGGCATGTTAGCTTCTACCTTAAACATTTTCCGGGACAAAGAAACCGAGAAAACCAAAGAGCGAGGCAATGAAATCTGACGTTACCGTGATAAGAGGTCAAGTCAGCTGGTCACGTGACGAACCCGTAGAAAAGGCCGCAAATGACCTGATTTTCTTTTCACAGGTTTTCAAACTCAATAAAATGACGAAATTCTGCTATTTGGTAGTTAAGAGGGGCATTAAAATTCCCACTGTTCTTCAGTTCCTCATTTTAACTTAGAGAGGTTCACCGTCTATTGACCGAAACCTACTTTATATTTAAACTCTAACGAAGGATAGCTTCGACTCTATTTGTACGTGTTACGATGGCAAAAGTACACATAACAGTGAGCACAGAATATGTGCTCCGCTCATGACAACTAAACCAGTATATTACGAGCGGTCTTCAATTGAGTGTCAAACAACGATAACAAACACAAACAATGTAGTGAACCACACCACTGATGGCAAGAAGAAAATACAAGAAACGACAATGGAAGCGCGGGAAATAGAATATGACTTCACGCATGCCAGGTTGTACAGTAAATTACGTAAGCCAAACACAGGGCGAAGTGGGGCAAAAAGAGTTAATAAAAGCAATTCTGAACTATAAAGACTCAGTTGAAAACCGTTCTGAATTCCGCTGTATTTACATTACTGAAAATTTGACGACTAACTTTGTAAAGTGAAANGGCAAAAAGAGTTAATAAAAGCAATTCTGAACTATAAAGACTCAGTTGAAAACCGTTCTGAATTCCGCTGTATTTACATTACTGAAAATTTGACGACTAACTTTGTAAAGTGAAAGCTCACAGGGAGCTCTTTCTTCCTACAGCCTTTTCAAAGTAACGTTTTGCAAGCCTGTACTGTGGAAACGTGTAGGGTTTGCTTAAATTACGGACGAAAAATAAGAAAGAGGGCGCTGGGCGTGATTAGTAAGTTACATTATCTATCACCTAAACCTTTAAACAATTATAGAACTTGCTAGCTTAGAATCAGTGGTAACTAAACGCTTAAACACACAGTACATGTCATTTAAGAGGAATGTTCCTCTTGCTTTTTCTGAAATGTCGGAAGACTAGACAAACTGTCCTTGATATACATGCAAGGAATCCTATAATGCCTACCCTGAGAATCTCTATTGGTAGCTCTTTTTAATTCTTGCATCATGGAAATAAGATCCAATGTTTGCCAACGCTTGCTGAAAATCTCAA